TTTGTCAATTTCTCCTACACCCACAAGCAATGTCAAAAATGACCCTTCTAAATGAAAACAAAATCTAAATGAAACAAATGCGCACTCACCCCTTCTAAAATCGATTTCTTTTTCCCACCCTTTCTTATACGCTTCTCAGTTTCCTCCAGTAGTGCCTGTGCTTCTTCAAGCTCCCGCTCCTCTATTTCCTGACGAATCCTTTCCATTCTCCGTTGCTCAAACTCAGCAGCAAGCCTCTTCTGTTCTGCTTCCTCAGTTATCTTCTGCATTTTCAACCTCCTTGACTCCTCCTCTCGTTCCTAGAGATCAAAATGAGGAGAAAACGTTAAAACTATTAGAATTTTGATAGATGATAAATCCATACTTCCTACCATTTCCAACAATTGGCGTTCTTGTTCTTCCTTTCTTTTCTCAATGATTGATTTTCGAGCAAGAAGCCTTTTGTGTTCCTTATCTACAACCTCGCCCAAGCCTGGCAAGATTTCAGCCAGTTTTGATGCTTTCTCTACAGCCGGGTATATCATGGCTCTTGCTTTATTCAACGATTCAGCAAAATTAGTCAAGTGAACCCTCAGCCCATCAGATTCGAGACCCTGAAAAAGTCAAAATGATGAACAGAATGATTGCATTCTCTGTTGCGCTCATATCCATGAAAAAATCTGCTTCGAGTACATAAAAATATCACAGAGACAAAATTATAATATGCCCAAGATATTATCTTACCAAATTACCAAACACCACAATGCCCTTCATATGATCAATTTTCATAGCAATAAAATTATGTTTAACAGCATCAACAGAAATCTTTTCCACCATTGAAAAATCAAGAAAGGGAATGATCTCAGACAAGCTCTCCATTTTCATTGTCTGATAAACCTGAGACACCTGGAGTAGCCAAGGGGAAATTTTTAAAAACAAAGAAAAACATAAATGACAAAAGAGTGTATAGCACATCACAAGAGCAATGAAAAAAATAAAATAAGACAAAACAAACAAACAAACAAACACATGACTGCACCTGCTGAAGCAACCTCAAAGTAGCAAGTTTTTCAAGGGCAGGAATGTATTGGGAGAGTTGAACTTCTGGTACAGATGAAGCAGAAGACAGCTTTCCACCAAGTTTTGAGATTTTTGTCAACAAAGGTTGTAACCTCGATGCAGCATCCAGAGGTAGAAATTCATGCTCTAAAAGATGATAAAGATCTTTCACTTCCTGAGTTGCACAACTAAGTACACCTTTTGAGACCTAATAAAAATTAGATTGTGTTAACCTTCACACATCTAGAAAAGTACAATTTGAGATCGCATAAAACCAACACTACTTTTACATTCACATAGAATGGGAAATAAAAAAATAGCATTGAATCATGCTTATGGCACATATTTGAATGCTTCTAAAGTGTTAAACAATATAATAATCAAGACAGCCTGACTTCATGAACAGAACCGAAGGTTAAGTGTCTTGTGGCACTAAAGTGGAAAACAAGACTCTTCATTTAAGGCTTTAATAACTTGAAAATAGAGCTAGATCTATATGCCAGTCAACGATTTAAAAAAATCATAAAAACAAATAACCAACAAGCTTCAAATATTGCCATACTTTGCAGAAAAAACTTTTTGAAAATGAATTCACCAAAAAAAGCACAAAACAAACAACTCATGACTATTAACTTACCAGTTCCGAGAGAAGCAATGACCTTGAAAGCTGGAAGAAGTACACAGGTCAGATGAAATGTAATATCAAGATAAAGTAACATTAAAGCTAACATAGAAATAAGCCATATTTAACGCAACACCTACCACTTCTCTGTTATCAACTTTAGGATCAAGATTAAATCCTAGAAGATTCGCCATCCTTATTCTACGCTCTTTCTCATTTTCATGCTCTAGGTGTGATGCTCCACTTGTCTGATTGTAAGGAGCCACTGATAGTGCCGCCAAAACAACTGACGATGCTATCAATTGCAAATCCTTCTGGCTTAAGTTTTTATTGAAGTTTTTTTGAAGTGTAAAAAGCTTAAACCATGCATAAGCATGATAGAGATGGCTAGCTGAAATCCAAAAGATTTCAGTCAGCTTGGCATAATAAACAACCATCAATGAAGATTTGGGGGTTTTCTTAACCATGCACATCAATCCATGAATGTCTTCAACAGATCGAAAGGCTTCCTGTAAGCAATAACTAGAAGCACGTAAGAAATCCATTACAAGACAAAAACAGAATGCAATTCCACTATACTTCAACAAAAATTGAAGATAAAGCAAACCAGAGACCTGCCAGAGTTCGAGTTCAGTAGCTATCTTCAGTTGCTCAAATCTTGTATCAAGATACAAATGCAAGCTCTCTGGGGCAGAAAGGTCAGGCCTGTCCCTCTGATCTCTATACTTGTTAAGATTTGCTAAATGATTTCTTATAATCTCACACAACCTCCGGAACTCTGTTGTTCGTTTATACTGTTTGCAAAACTGGAATGCTCGGTGTGCTGTCATCTACAAGACATGTAAAGCTTATTAAATTTCTACCACTTCAATCCATAACAGTAAACAATAGTTAAGCTTAAACCACATCATGTCATTATTATCAGATAAACTAGACAAATTCCTCAAGGACCTGAACCACAAGTTAGATTGCAGTTTTCCATAGGTAAATGATGAAACAAGATATACTTCTCGATGTATGCCAGAGATTGTGTCTACAGGCCAAGATCAGAATGCCACATAAATTCTTTGTTTGTTTCACCATCTATCAAGGAAGTATTGGCAATTCATCCGGAAACAGATAAAATCCTACATCATCCGCTATAAACAATAAAAATGAACGAATTAAAAAACAAATGATGCCTGACGCATTAGTTCAAAGTATCGATCAATCACACAGTTCAGCTCATCCAACAATGATATTCTAGGTAAATCCAAGCAAACCCCAGTGAACCCTTTACACAGTTACACATATAGAGATAAAAAAAAATCAGCATGATGTAAGAACTCAGCGATTTATACATAAGTAATTGTATCAAAAGTTCAATAATTGTTTGCAATACCGCATATAGAGCCTCCAACTTTGAGTTATTCCGCAAAATTTCAAGCACAGTTCTATACGTCTCCCACAAAAACTTGAACCAAGGTGTGACAAGTTCTCGATCCGACCTATCCTTTCCTTTCTCTCCACTAACATAACTTAACATCAAATCCTCAGGTCTGTTATCTGCCTCGAGGTCATCTACATCAAGGGCTTCTTCCAAGGCTTGTGCCCGAGTACGAGCCTGCTCAGCCTTCTCAGAGGAAAGATGCATAAAGTGTTTGATAACTTCCTCTAATGAACTAACGTTTACTTGCTGACATACAATTCGGTATTGAATCAAACCATCCTTTGCGAAGCGACCTTTTCGCATATCAACACAAAGTTCTACGTATTTAAACATAATTCTTTCGAGTGTTTTTTGCCAAGCTCGATATCGCTTCGAGGTAATTAAATCATGAAGAGCTTGCAACGCATCTTGCTTCTGCCCAACATTTATCAACTCTGCATCAATTAAAAATAAACAACATTAATTAATTTCACAATTTCCCAAGAAAGAAACTAAAATTGCAAACAATGTAAGGAAAAAAGTTAATAAATTAAGAATTCGGTTGATTACCGTCAGCTCGTTTTAATGCATTCTCAGCTCTGGCAAAATTTGCCATGTTTTTGAATCAAATTCCTGAAAAGAAACCAAAAGACATTCTCGTAATTTTAGTAAAAATATATGTATGAAGCCTCGAGGATGATCTTAACAAAAATTACAACAAATTTCAAATAAAACTCTCACTTGCTTGAATTTATAACCAAAATTAAAAGAAAAAAAAGGAATAGAATGTTAACTTTAATTTGAGGATGCGGATAAAAAATGTGTTCATTAAGAACAAAAATACCTGAAAGATGATCAGGGTGGGGAGTGTTTGAGTTGCCGAGGAGAAATGGGGAAGGGAGTGAGAGCGGCGTGTTCAAGGGAAGAACGAAACAAAGAGAAGAGGGAGGAGGGTTTTTTTTGGGTTTTTGGGGAATCAGGGAATCGGCTTTAAAAACCTTTAATCCAACGGTCTGTATTTGCTTTCTGCAGATTGTTGAGACAACTTGAAATTTTAAGAGATTAAAAAAATTGGTTTATAAAATATTAGTACAATTATTTAACTCAATTTAGACATAAATAATATTATTTTATGTTAAATGTTTAAATAAAAATAATGTTATTAAAAGTTATTTAAAAAAAAGGTGAACAACTATCTTTTTTTATTCAATTTTCGTAACTAATTTTATTTTTATTTTTATTTTTATTTTTTGCTAATTTTTGAAAACCTATGACCATGATAAGTTTGATGGTTGTCCTTTTTTTAAAGATTTTTCATTTAAAATGTAATTGCTGAGTTTATTAATTTTCTGAAATTAATTTAGTCCAATAGAAAAAAGGTTTTAGTAATTGATAAAACATATTATTAATAGTAAAAATAAAATCGTATATTTTTTTTTTTGAGAAAAAAAGTTTAGATTCGACTTTTGAGCAAAGAAACGTGAAGGTAGCATTGAGCTGAATGCTCAAATGCAATATAATTAAAACTTAATTAGAAAATATAAAAAATATCAAACTTAGACTTAGCTCCAATAGTATGAAGAAAATATAATTAAGATAAAAATGTTAAATTAGAGTGATAATGTCTTCTTCGTTAAAACATTAATTAAAAACAAAATAGATATATGTATAATTTTCACAAGATTTTTACACCATTTGCCTTAAAAGCATTATTATAGAAAATATATTTAAACGTAATACAGATTAAAATGATAGATAAATATATATGGAGAGTTTATTAACATAAACATAATAATAAATTTATAATTTGAAGGTGAAAATTGTAAAATGCATAGGAAGGCTGGAGGATAAAAAAATTGTGATGAGGTGGGCAAAAAAAAAAAATTCACATTCTACCATCTCTTTTAGAATATTTTCAAATTAACCCATGGCTGCTTACCAAGTTAACTTCATTCTTTCACTGAAGCAATACAGAATGATGTTTCATTCAATAAAACTTACTCTTCCAATCTTCTCAAAGAAGATTAAATAAATTTGCCTCTATAATACAACACCAAATGAGAACAAGGGTCTCTTAACATCAAAACAAGATTAATTGCACAAGTCAAGATATGCACACTGTCCAAAATTGCAAGTTACCTATACTTGAGAGACCTGTGGCAACAATCCACCTAAAGATCTGCGAAAAAGTTATTCGAACTTGTAAAAGCAGCTCCTTTATTTGCATTTTTCACCTTGGTTCCTGGAAAAATTAAAACAATCAAATAATAAAAACCAAATTACATACTGGGCAATTTTCCTTCATAACATGACTGAGCGAAACTTGTCAAAGGGCTGGAGATCTAACGAGAGGAAAGTTGGAAAGACCATTGAATTCTACATGGGATTTGAAATCATAAGTTACAGTTCAGACCGAAGCCATAGCCCATAAAATCATTCATTGCACAGAGAAGCCAACTTTAGGAATTCTGGGTAGAAGAAAACCAGTGCACTATGGCTCGCTGACGAAGGTCAAGAACCCACCTTTAATTGACTGGAATAAACAATTTCAACATTCTAAGATGATATTTTAAGGCCTATTTTCACATATCATTCATCTTTAGCAAAACCATTCCTATGGAAGTTTTCGAAAAAAATGGCTTCATTACCGGGTTCACAGTGATACAACATCATGTCTCGCTAGTTTAGTAATCCTGTTCAGAGATATGTGATTTAGGCTGAAGCCTTAAATTAAGGCCAGAAAGAGAACTAGCATACCTTTCTTAGATTGAGAAGGATCATCATCCACGTCCATCCCATCACTATCACTGTCTGACGTAGCAACTTGACCTTTAACCGTATTTTCAGGACTTTGCAATATATCATCCAGATCCCACAACTGCAATACAAAAAATTAATTGGACCTTCATCAAATAAGGCATTCATCAATGAAGCTGATTATCCCATATTCCAAGCATCTACCAAATGACTTTGTTACAACTGCTAATCATCGGGTTGTCTATTGTACTAAACAACCTACACAAATAATTTTTGACTTTACCAGATAACAAGTCCTCATACACATGCAGTCATTTGTACGGTTATGATTGCAACAAATAAATTTCTTATACATCATACAACACACAATTGAAATATCATAAAGAGAGAGCAAGTGCATTCAAAGGGGGAAAAATGCACCTTCAACATCTGATCATGTGATATACTACCAAGAAACCTTCTATCATGAGAAAAAGCTACAAGAAGAAACAAAAATTCATTAACCAAGGATTTTTTTAGCAATCACAAAACAAGAAGTCCAGCTTGGCAAAGCACATAAAGAAATAACTTTTTTTGAGAGCAATAACATGAAGTTCAAGGAACGGATCTGAGTTAGGAACTAAAATAATAGTCAGTTGTTTGTAAGAGCACCACAAATAACCAATGGACCATTCACATTAAATAGCATACACAACATGCCAATATTAAAAGTCCGACAAGCATAACCAGCATAGGCTCTATTTTCTTGTCACTTCTGTAACTGGCCTCCAAACGTTTGCCTTTTTCTTAGTTTTTGTGATAAAGCAGACGCAAACAAAACAAATTCACATATATTTAAAAGCAAGTAAATAGTTTAAAAAAGCATACATCTGAACATAAAGGTTGCACATAAGAGTAAAATGATGCTTTTCTTTGTCAAATTTTAAAATATGAAATTTGTTTGTGCATCGAAACATTACTTTTGCTTTTGAAAGCAAAAGTAGATGATGAAAGCGGCAAACTAAAAGGAGACTTCGCGGAAATTATCTAAGCCAAAAAATCCTATTAATTCTACCTCAAAGCAGACATCGTTGACAATAACTTTGATCTCAAAATAGGAAAGAAATACAATACCAAGGCCCTCAACTGGATAATCTGAATGCTCTGCAATTGGTTGTATGATTCTGTTAGGCAATATGCCTACTAAGCTGGAAAAGAATTCAAGGAATTGTAAATAAAAGTTAGAAATAGTAAGATGAAAATCAACATCCAAATAAATGTCTCCTTTTGTGCTCATTGTCTTACCTGATGAGTCCATTCTCAGATCCTGTAATGAGTCTATCTTCATCAAGCTGACACAACAATTTAAAAATACTAAATAAAAAATGTTTGTTGATTGTTTGATAACCTAGTTTCTGAAACTATAACAATTAGGAAAGCAGCTTACTTTCAGCAAAGCCTCAACAGAATTTGGAGAGAGATCAACAAAGCGATCGCTAGACAACCAATGAAACAGTCAGGGCACAACACCAGGTGAAACATCAATAATTGAGAGAGAAAAAGGGAGATAGTCCCAGTCGTGGAGGATTTACAACTTCTTAACTTCAGAAAAATGAACTATGATGATTTTCAAAGCACAATACCTGCAGTCCTTAAAAAACCCCCATGAATATAACAGCAAAGTTCCACTTTGTGATCCACAAATAACTTTCCGACCATTCTGACAAACATAACATAAGGCATATTAGGACACAGTAAGGACAAGAAAGTAAAGCTTGGTTATGAAAACTATCTTCTAAGTCCCATTAAAACCATAGATATCACAAAGATTTCATTTGTTTTGCTCTTTAACAGCAAATACCATGAAGCATACTTCTGATGACCTAAAGGACAAATAATATTTCTAAGAAAGGAAAAAGCTTCTCTCCTGTCTTCACAGAAGGGCTTGAACAACCAAAAGAATCACAGAACTGGTTGCATCACAACTGTAATCTACATTTTATTTTGTACCTACCTTACTGAATCGTAATCCTCTCAGAAAAAAAAAAAAAAAAAAAAGAGAAGGGGCGAAAAAAAGATCATGTCATCTTTGCAACTCAATTGCTATAAAAATCTATGCCAATGGTCAACATAAATTAGGATGCCTTGCAAAGTACAATTTATCCTTTAATGTTAATCAGAGTTGGAACATGTGTTAACATTCGCAACTATGGCACCATAATATGCTCTAGACATATCGCCAATGAAAACTATATGCCAAACCCCTTCAAAAACCACTCTACTTTCACTAATGAACAATTCAGCCACCCTAGTTATATTTCTTTTATTTAAGCGATTGCCCTTTTATATACGAGTCAATTAATCCACACAAACAAAAACCATTAACTCAATTAAGTTTCATGGTGCAGATACAATAAATCGATCCATAGATGACAAGATTAAAAAAAGATGCATCTAAATTAAAATTATATATTGTTTCAAATAGTACGTAACAATCTTAATTTAAAATTCATTGAAATGGCTTAACAGGTATATCTAACCTAAGCAACATTAAGAAAAAAAAGTAATTAAATTTTAAAAAAAAAGCAAAAAGAAAAATGATAGAAAAGAAAGAAACAGAGAGGATACATGAGAGAAAAGAGGGAAGGGGGAGAACAACCTATGAGACAAAAGAAGGAAGGGGGAGATAAGAAGGCGACACTGGATCTGATGACCAATACCTAAAATGGGTGAAAATTGGCAAGATCTAACCCAAATCCCACTGCATCTGATTGGGAACATTCTTGAAGATTAACAAATAGCTTCTTATCTACCAGGAATCCTACTCTCAATCTTTGCAGGTCTGGATTCTATATAGTTTTGATGATCCGAAAATCTATATTTTTTCCATGCTTAATATGTTGTTTCTGGTGATGGTTAGTTTTGGTTTGCTTAGGTGGGTGGCTTGACATTCCACTTTCTTGAAGGCATCACACTTCCTCATCAGCACGAGAGAAAAGTAGATCATTTCAAGACCACAATATTGCAAGATCTCGCCAGATCTCATTGGTCCAGAACCAGCCACTCTCCACCTGCTCCTCACTCTTCTCCCTTGCAGCCCTCCACCTCTTCCTCCCTTTCTCCATTTTCCCGCCTTTTTTTATGAAACTATTTTTTTTAATTCAATCCAATCCTTTGGTCTATATAAGATTAGAGTAGAGTAGACTTTTATTAGGCCATTTAATTACATTTAACTATGATTAAATGAAAAAAATTAGGTTTATATATGATTAAACAATTATTACTTGAAAAACAGATTATCAAAGAAAAACAAGAATAAAATTGTTTAAAAAATCTACTTCAAACATTGTAACTCTAATGCCTCTGAAAAATCATGTCCCATTTGACACATCACCTGCCAAATGGCTTTTTTCCCTGCCCATGTTTCTAGTTAAATGGCATTTTTTATCCACATCATCATATTTGACAGAGCTTAATAGATTCTGTTATCCAAACAGCTTAATTGACCCAATTATGAAAGAGTGATGGCTTAATTTAAATAAATAGAAGTAAAATGGTTGAAATGCAAATTTAGTAAAGGCATAGTGGCTTTGAGAGAGGTTTGCCCAAAAGTACATCAGATGAAACCATAGAATACAATTATTCAGCAATCAGATGTATATACCTTCATTACAGTAACAGAAGTAAGCTCATCTTCAGAAAACTCAGAGCGTGTTTGGACCTATAGGTAACAAAGAGATCAATCAATTTTAGATGGTCAAAATCTATAGCAAGCACAGTTTACTAAAAAGATTCTACAATCAGATGCATCAATCATTTTAGAAAGGTTACAAGCAAGAGCTTACCTTATATGTGCGAAGATTGCAAACGGATAGAGTCCCATCTCCACTTTAGAATGAAAAATAAAAATTTATTAGAGCCTCATATTTAAAATCATTAGGAAGGACATTCAAAGAAAAACACAGATAGAGAGAGAGACACACACAGAGAAAGCAAGGGCTAGGAACATCAAAAACAAGGCAAATGAAAATAAAGCTATTGTGTGCATGTGAATGTGCATGGGCACAACCAGGTTTATTGCAAAAGGAGAAATGAAGGTAATGAAAGAAGGAATCAGAATAGACAAAATATAATATTACCATCTTTTTTTCCCTTTCTTTGTGGACAAAAAACCTTCCCAATATCAAAAGAAACTCATTTCTTTTAAGCATCTTGTTAAGCTACACATAAATTTGAAAATTTGGCTTTTTTTAGCATAGTTACTCTTGCAGGTAAACAAAGAAAAAAGATGTTTCCCATAATCGGCAACTGAGCTAAATCAGATATAAGTTTTGGAAGATATCACTGAAGTACTGAAATGGTGAATATTCAAAATAATTACAAAGCAAGATACCTTGTTGTTAGCAATTTCACGGAATCAGATACAAAATTCATATCTGAAATATAGTCTTCATGAGCATTAAAAGAACCAGAACAGGAACGTTGCCTGGTATCCCATACCTGCAAAAAAGAAGCAGATAAGCACAGATTAAACATACCATTTGAAACACATAAAATTCACAAAATCAAGTAAAAAAGAAACCTTAATACAGCCTTCATCATCTCCAGAGGCGACAGTTGACTCTGTAAGGTTGATCAAACTATTGATGGCATTCCTACACAACCAAATAAACTCGTATTTCAACAACTGATTACAGGAATTAAAAAAAAAAAAAAACCCAGAAACGCAGTGAGAACCCACTCATGAGCATTTTCAAGACGAGCAATTACTGATCCAGTTTCAACATCTGTGGCCAGAATAGAGCAATCTTTTGAACCTGTCGCCACAGCTGAACTCGAAGACACAATCAACTATCATTAGATAGAATCCGTGGAGAGAAATGTTCATGAAAAAGAAAACGCTTTACCTTGTCCACCATTAATAAACCGAACTGTTCTACACGACTCAGTATGTGCATGAACATCCAACGATCTTAACAACAAAAAAAACCAAAGAAACTTTTTTAGAAAATTCACCGCCAGTCAATTTCATTCATATATTAAATTATTTACGGTAAGAGATGGAAATTATTTTTAAAAAAAAGAAAAAAACTTAAAATTTGGACCTTTGTAGCGAGGAATCATCGGTATTATATTTGTATCTGCAAAATGCGAAGTCTAAATCAATAGATAATTGAAGTTGAATTATTATATAAAACGGTGGAAGAAATTGAAAAGAAACAAAAAAGAAGAGGGGGAACTTACAGGTGAAGGTCGCCGGTGATGAGAGAAACAGCGACGAGTTCTTTCGAAGGATGAAAATCGAGACCAAAGGGGATTTCCCCTAAACTAGCCTCCATTAGTGAAAGATACTTTCCCGCTTTCAAGCAAGAGCCCGGCTAAAAGTATCAAAACCCTTCAATGGCTGCGCCAGGGCTTAAGGGATAGTGCTTTTGGTTTTGAGACCTACGGTTTCAGCTGAATTCAAGTTGCCGGTCTTAACAGTCAACAAAAAAATGTCACTTTTATTTTTTACAAACTCAATATTAAAATTTATAAATTACATTCATGATTATAAAATATACAAAAAAACATTAAATATAAATAAATTAATACAAATCAATAAAAATAAATAATGATAATTAAACACACTTAAATCATAACATTCAACATTAAAAATATATATTTTATATAAATATAATATACATAATATTAATTTTGATCTGATAATTTTCCTACTCAAAAATCAACTAAATAAACTAATAACACCAAATTTTTTGAACCAAAAAATTAAATAAATCAAACCGTTTTTCTCGAATTTCATCTGATCAATTGGGTCAGTTGGTTTGGTCCATTTTAACTCACCCTCACTTGTAACATTAAGAAAAATTAAAACTTAGAAACATAAAGTTGAAATGGAGAGGCTGCGATTGTTGTTTGGTTCTGATAATTGTTTGGCTATTGATTCTGCTAGTAGATTTAGCACTATTGTAGAAAATTGAAATTTTATTAGATGTGAAATCATTCTTGATAAATCTTATTGATGCGAAAATAAGATCGAAAGGAAAAACGTGAAAATTGATAGGGTTTTATGAGAATCTATATAATATAAATAGATTTATCAACTGCGAGTTGATTCACACACTAAAAGTTTAGTCACAATTATCATGACTCTATTTTGATAACTTAATGAAATATTGTTTACAAGTGAGAAATGAGGAGGACCAAAGAGAAGTAATGCTATAATAGAAGCATTCAGAAATATCTATGATGATTGCGAATGGAGAAATTTAGGTTATAAGGGACTCTAATTTACATGATGGAATAATTGATAAGAAGAATATCATGTTAGATGTCGTTTGGATCGAGACTTTACAATTGATGAGTGGTGCAATAAATTTCCTCAAGTTGTGGTCTTTAATAAAGCAATAAGGGCATCTGATCATTTAGCTCCATGGATTGTTTTATTTCACAAAAAAAAAGTTAATTGGAGAAAGTGGTTTCATTTTGAGGTGGTATGGTAAGACGATGATACTTGTGCTAGAAAGCTTTATGAGGAATGGAGGAGCCCAACTAAAAATTCAAGGGAATTCTTAGATAAATTAAAGTCTGTCAAAATAATTTTTAATTTTTTGAAACCTAAGCCTTTGAAAAATGTGCAAGGTAAAATTAATAGAAAAAAGCAAGAATTACAGATGGCTAATGGTGTGGCATAATTCCAATTAGAAGAACAAGTTATTATTTATAGCTGGGAGAGAAATCCTTTTGAAGGAAGTTGTTCATACAATACCAATATATGTAATGGGTTGTTTTAAATTGCTAGATTCTCTTTGTAAAGAGATTGATTTTGTAGTTGCTAGATTCTAGTGGGTACGTAATGATAAAAGATTCCAAAATTCATTAGAAAAACTGGAATTTCATATGTTCGTCGAAACACAATGAAGGCATGGGATTTAGAAATACCAAATGTTATAATGTGGCAATGCTAGCAAAACAAGGCTGGAGATTGCAAACAAAAGAGCCCACATTAGCGTATAAAGTGCTCAAAGCACGTTATTTTCTTAAATTGAATTTCGTAAAAGCTTCAATTGGATGAAACCTGAGGTATTTGTGACAAGAGTCTTCAAGAGAGCCAAGCTATTATAAAAAAAGGGCTCTTTTTGGCTTTGTTGGAAATGGGAAAGATATTTTGGTTAAGACAGATTGTTGGGTTCCTTATGAAAACCCAAAACCAATTTTTTCTTGTCATGATGTGGTGAATGTCAAGACAAAAGTAAGTGAATTTATTGAGCAAGATTCAATGGTATGGAACGAAGATAAAATTATAGCTTGCTTTCCACAATATGAGAGTAAATTAATTCTGCCAATTCCCTTGAGTATTCGGAAGCCTAAGGACCAACTCATTTGGTTCTGTAGTAAATCTAGTGATTACACTATTAGGTCTGAATATAGACAGGCTTGTTGGTCTAGAATGGGGTTAGGGGGCTTAAGCTCATTAGGTAATGTCACTCAAATATGGTTTATTATATAATTTAAAATAAAATAAAATAAATTATATTATATTCTACATATAATTATTATTTTTACTGTCTATATTAAATCAAATTAAATGTTCTAAAAAAATTTTATTTTTGTTTTCGTCATACGTTATTTCATTTCTTTGGAGGGAAACGGGAATGAAATTCCATAAAATGGGCCGCTAATTGTCCCCGTTCAAGTTAGCAAAGCCCTTGTCTTACAAAAATATGCAGTAATTATTATTATTAATTATTACTATATATGCAGTGTTTTTTGAATTTAAAAAACTAAACAATAAATAAAATAAAAATACTAAAAATAAAAGTAATTGCCTCTCCATCGTCTTTCTCTCTCCAACAACAAAGAAGACCACCCACCGCCAGCATCGCCACCACTTCCGCCATTACTACGACGTCGCTTCCTAAACGATCCACCGTCACCTTCTTCCCTCTCTCTATCTCACACGAAATTCAGATTCTGTTTTGCACTGTATAAGGCGAAAAATCCAAAATTCTCTCTTTCTCTAATCGAAAACATCAACATTTTCAAACTTTCTTTAACTTTCCCCGATCATTTCCCCCCTTTTTCCGACAACCAATCAGCTGAAAAAGACACTATCAATTCTGCTTTTCTGCCTTTTCCACCTCGGAATTAGGGTTCCGGTTCAACCACTGTGTGATTCTGATCAAGGGCTTCAACAGTGAGAGCATTTCCGGTTTTGGATCGGCCGAGCGATTCCGAATTCCCTCAGGTGAGAGGGAATTAAGGTATTCAGATGGAAGGTTTTAGAAAATTCTAGGGTTTTGTATTAAATTTCAAAACTATCTAGAAAATGATTTGGTTTCGATATTTCCAAACTAGAGAGCGAAATTAGGGTTTATGATGACAGATTGGTAACGATGGTGAGGCTCCTAGGACTGACTCGAGGAGAATCGGACGAGTTACCTCGCGAAATCACCACCTCGAGGACTCCTCTAGCGAGTGAGTCAGGTGAAAACGGGTGGCTCATCAGATTCTTCGACTCTGCGTTTTTCTGTGAGTGGATCGCTGTTAGCTATCTTTACAAGCATGATCATGCCGGGGTCCGAGATTACCTATGTAACAGAATGTACACACTTCCGTTATCTGGAATCGAAAGCTATCTCTTCCAGATTTGTTACATGATGGTTCATAAGCCGAGCCCTTCATTGGATAAGTTTGTTATTGATATGTGCTCAAAATCACTAAAAATGGCAATGAAGGTGCATTGGTTTTTGTTGGCTGAGTTAGAGGATTCGGATGATAATGAAGGGATTAGTAGGATTCAAGAAAAGTGTCAAATTGCTGCTACTTTGATGGGTGAGTGGCCGCCCCTGGTGCGGCCACCCAATGCAGGTTCAAGTCCAGGGAGTAAAAACCAAGTTTTGAATCGAATTCTATCATCAAAACAGCGGTTTTTGTCATTGACATCTTCTCCTCCTATGCAGAGATCATTGTCCTTGTCGCCGTCTTCAGGGAACCATTTGCAGGAGGATGGTGGTAATCAATTGTTGTCTCCAGAGGAGAATAAAATTTTTAAAAAGTTTATTCCTGGTCCGAAAGTTAGAGATGCCTTGTTGTTTAGGAAGTCAGCTGAGAAAGATGAAGAGGAGAACGAAAAGGATGGGTTTTTCAAGAGGCTGTTGAGGGACAGCAGAGGGGGAGAGGATGAGGAGTCGACATCAAGTTCAGATGGGTTTTTTAAGAGGCTTTTAAGGGATAGTAAAGGAGAGGAGGAAGAAATGACTTCGAGTTCTGAAGGATTTTTTAAGAAGTTGTTTCGGGATAGTAAGAGTGAGTCCGATGATAAATTGGTTTCTAAGCCAGCAGAAGATGATGAGAAAGAAGGGTTCTTTAAGAAGTTATTTAAAGATAAATTTGAGGACAAGAAAGATGTGAATGATAAAATTGATGATGAACATATGGTGAACTCTGAAGAAAAAGCTTCAAAATCTGCTGAAGATGATGAAAAAGAGGGGTTTTTCCGGAAATTTTTTAAGGATAAATTTGAAGACAAGAAAGATGGGAATGATAAAAATGATGATTGTGATGAAGAAGAATCTTCAGATTTCCCACTGTTCCGAAGACTATTTCGAGTGCATCCTGAAGAGAATAAAACTAGTACAGCAAATGAAAGCAGCAATAGTGGCGGTTTGTTTGAGAGCAGTCCAGGGACTGAGAACTTCTTCCGCAAACTTTTTAGGGACCGTGATCGTTCAATTGAAGATTCAGAGTTGTTTAGTTCAAAGAAGCATAAAGAGGTATGTACACTTTTATTTTTGTTGAGATGTTACCTGTATGCTTTGAGGTCTGTCCTACTCATTGAATCTGTTTCGTCCGGTTCCAATTTATGCACTCATAATTTATTAGAACTGTTTGAAGTGAAAGATGATAACTTTTGTAGCACATTCTATCTGTCAAAACTCCTGAATTATACAACCCCTTGGACTGGTTTACATAATCCTATAATGTTGATGGTCTTTTTTGAACTTCTTTGTGTTTTGAATTTGATGCTTAAGTTTTATTAGACATTGTAAAAGATAATATGTGATTACATTTTCCATTGTTGTGTCGCGATTGAAAACATTTAGTATAGTAACCTTTTCGGTTCTACTATTTGCACTCCAGTTGCCAACCTATCAGCAGGAAATTGTGGAGGAATTTCTGCTTATAATTATTATGAATCTTACCATATGCTTATATGTGGGAAGTGGTCTTCCTATGGTTGTTAAAATGTTTTTCATTCTTGATTCCTAGTGTCATAAGTCTTTATTCAACCTTGTCTAATGTTTTTGAAGGGCCTTTGATTCTTTCAGACTGGTGAATTTGGAGATCCTTTAGGCTAATAATCACAACAAAGCATGCATGCTTAAGGAGTGTATTCTCTGGGTTCTAGATTTTCGTTAAGTAGAATGAACTGTACTGCTGTGTTGTTTGCCATGACAAAAAGTATAGGAAATTGATCCAATATTTGTTCTTAAATGGTTCTTCCATGTTATTTAGCTTAAATGCCAACTTCCAATGGTATATCATTTAGTAATGTAATCCAATAAACTATAAAGCCTTTATTGATGAAGTGATGGCTGAACACTCTTTTTTTTTAGATTGGAATCTGAGCACACAAAAGTTAAGCACTGTTTTGCCTGTAGCTGTTTTCCTCAACTCCTGCAATGAACGTTAAATCTGTCCATGCACTGAATTTCTTTTCATTGGTATTTGTAATGTTGAAAGATTATCAATTTGATGGTATCTTTGACATTTTTAACATTATAAGAGTGTGTTGTTTACTTGATGTACCATAAATGGAAGGATAAAATTCGCTGGATGGTGAAATACCTGATTTGGACCAAAGATAGGATTATTAACTGGATGGCAATCAATCTGGTTTCTGTTTTCATCATCTTTCTTGGATTCCGGATTGTCTATACTTCTAGGATTTGATTTTCTATATTTATATTTATCTATTTTTGTTCCTATAAAGTTATTATGTTGTATGCATCTCTTGTACTGGAGTTTTGCAGTTTCCCTTCTGCCATGGCTATTTTGTCAAAAAAAATTATTTAGAAAAAGAACAGCTTCCACTTCCTTAGTAACTCTGTTGTAACTGTAATATTACTAGACTACTTGATTGATCTGGGAAATATTCCTTTTCTGCATGTCCTTCTGTCTATCTAGTTGTGGAGTTTCATAGCCTTTCCCCTTTTGCCTGACATTTGATCAAAAGGGAGTGGGAAGCTTTTATTGACCATAGGGCTGTAGATTGCTTTAGAAATAACTCCTTGCTTTTCTTACTTTGATTAAGGTTAGTTTAGTATGGTTTAGGCATGGGGCAGAGTGCATGCAAGTTAATATTTTATTTTGTAGTAACTATGAATATTATATGTGAAGTTGTGAACACACTCCTCTCTCATAGATTGGCTTGGATATGAAAGTTTTTAATTCCTCTTTGTTTTCCTCCGCTTTCTTGTTATGTTGCTTGTTTGTTGGTATGTGTGCAGTGTGTGCTCACCTTTTAATATGTTATCATCAGAAAAAGGTTGTGGAAGCCTCTTATTTAGGAATGACATGGACCTTCAGATGGAGCAGGTTGTTTTGCATTTTTTCAGTGGGATTGTTGAAAACTTGAAATCTGTGTGGTTTGATTTTGGATTACTTTGGCTAGGCTGAACCTAGTTTTGGGCATTCTTACATATTATAGTACTTGAATGTGATGAAATATATTCACATAGTTAAGAAGATAAAGGATTGTCTCCAGTAGTAAATGATAGCTAAATAACATTGAAGAAGAGCATAAAAGTTGTGGAACCCTAAGATGTCCAAAAGGAGCATAAAAATAAGAGGTAGTATTCTAGTTTGTGGTTTTATCTATTTATTTTTCCCCAAATGCAAGTAAATTAATTTCTATACTCATAAAGTGCAAGTTTTGTTTGAATGTCCTGAATGAAATGGTATAATTAAATGATGGAAAATATCATAAAGGATATCTGATAGGCTTTTCATATTGAGCATATTTCCTTCATTCAAGAATACTGCTGGTGGTTTATTTCTTTTGAGTGCATTGTTCTTTAATCTTTCATTAGTGTTGTTTACTTGACATGTTCCTCCGGGCATTTATGTTAATTTTCTGTGACCTTTATTTGGCAGAAGCATCCTGGTTCACCTAAGCAACAGAATGATAAGTCAAATGCCAAACCTCCGCTTCCAAATAATTCTATATCACAATTTCGAAAAGGGGCTTATCATGATTCACTGGATTTTGTACTGTCATTATGTGAGACATCATATGGCTTGGTAGATGTGTTTCCAATCGAAGATCGCAAAACTGCTCTTCGTGAGGTGGTTTGCACATTTCTAATGTTTTGTCAATGCTTCAATTAAATGTTATGAAATATACTGCTAGAATGTTATCTAACATGTTTGTTGTTCTTTTCATTTTTGGATCTCTAGTCACTTGCAGAGATTAATTTGCAGGTAGCTGAGGCGCAAAACAATGGAGGTACATATTTATTAATGAAAAATTTGATCAAAGCAATGGCAATTGAGAGGCATCATTTGTTGCATTAATAAGTTTACTTATGATTTCCCAAAGTGGTTGGAACTCTGAAACTGTGAGTAGGATTATAGGACTATCTTGGTTGTTTTCCTACCTCTGTGCTATGTTTACAAGTGTTTTGATTTAAAATGGTGAGATTTTAAATATTTTTTATAGTAGTTTGTATATGGTATATTCATCTGTGAGAATATCTATATTGTCTTTTGAAAAGTGGTAATCTTTTATTGGTTTCTGTTGCCAGTGCTTCTGTTGCACAGTCTGTCCATTAAAGAGGAAGTCTCTGTAACATATTTGATACATTGTCATTGGTTTTTTTCTGAGTTGGAGTGCTTTTCATTTTTGCTGAAGTTGAAATTTAGTGGTAGGGGCTTGCCGTCGAATTTCTATAAGCATTTCTTCACAATCTTCTGTCAAGTGAATGCATCATTTAATTGATGTGTGAAGCATTTCCATTCAATTGGAAGCAATTTATTTTTCTATTCTGAAATATTTTCTCAATTTAGTTTCACTCTTTGTTGTACTGATCTGAATACAGCTATTTCCTTCATTAAAATAAGAAAAGACTGCAAAGGACCAAAAAATGTGGGTTTCTGCTTGTATTATTATTGGTTGTGGACAGGGATGTCAAAAATTAGAGATGCAACTTGGGTTGGGTAAACCTGAGAACTGACCCGACATGACTACTTTGGATCAGGTTCTTTTATAATCGGGTCTAACTTGGTTCATTGGCATTGTGGGTTGGGCCGGGTTGGGTTGAATCTGGGGTCAATCCAAAGTAACCCTATCTGACCTGGGTTTTTTATTTCATTTTTATATTAATTAAGAAAGAAGGTTAAATTTACTTTTTTATCTTCTCTAAATTTTATTTTAATATATTTTAGGATTTTTATCACGTAATAGCATTAACTTAATTTTTTAATTGAAAAAGACCATGAACACTCATTTGTGATAATAAACTTTCTGTACAAATCTCTTTGAAGAAACTTTTTATTATCCATTTTTCAATATTCAGTACAGTGAAAAGTGTTGCAATACTTGTATTTCATCAAATATACAACATATAAATAATTAATCTGAGTTTGGAAATAAATAGAAGATTTTATTCAATTTATTTTTTTGTTACTTTAAGACATAGAGAGGGAAGAACTGCACTTACCTATGCCTTGTTAACATGGGGTGGGTTGGTCGGGTTGGGTCAGAAAAAGGCAGTTTATTGCCTTGGGTTGGACCCACACCCATCCCCATTCAAGGAACCTGACCCAAGTTTCAACCTTATGTAAAATAGCAAGGTCAAGTGAGTTCTGTGATTGGTCAGTAATTTGGTGATGCAAAGTTAATATTAAGCTTGCATGGCTTAATGAAATTTGCCTTGTAATATGTATTTGTCTTATTTTTTTGGGATATTATTCTATTGAAACTTTTGTGGTTGTATATATGCTTATGATGAATTTTCCACATTAGTAATTGTCAGTTAGCTTGCACTTTTATTGCAACTTTTGATATATTGGGTGAACTGGACTGTTGCTTGAAATATATTACTCCATACTGTTATTTGAGTATTGCTGGGAATTTTTTAGGAGTTTGCTTTCCGATGGGAAAAGGGATGTATCGTGTGGTTCATATTCCTGAAGATGAAGCTGTTCTTTTGAATTCTAGGGAAAAAGCACCATATCTCATCTGTGTTGAAGTTTTGAAAAGTGAATTGCCAAGGTAAGCTTTGAGTCCATTGTCCATACAACTCAGATGCAGTCTCGATTTTTCAATTTATCTTATAAATTGTACATAACTCAAAAGAAATTTAGTGTGGTTTCTTATTCCTTTCTTGAAACTTATTTTAGCAGTACAAAGGACACATCTAATGCTCAGAAGCTCTCTAGAGGAGGAATCCCTCTAGCAAATGGTGATGCCTTATTGCCAAAGCCGCCTCCATGGGCTTATCCTTTGTGGACTGCTCAGGAGGTGTATCGTAATAGTAGTGATAGGATGTCAAGTTCCACTGCACAAGCTATTGACCAGGCAATGACTCATAAGTCTGAGGCAAAAGTGAAATTTGTCAATGTGAGTTTTTCTGTAGAAAAGCAATCAGGCAGCCAATCAGAGAGTGTTGAAGCACCTGATTTACTGTCTGGCAAGCATCGTGGCAATTTGGGTGCTGTTTCAGTTCAGGGTGGACAAGATATAACTCACAAATTAAGAGCTGCTCATTCTAGTGATTTGGAGTGGGTAAGGGTGGTGCTGACAGCAGATCCCAGGCTCCGAATGGAAGACATTGAGGGTCAAGGACTACCTCGTCGGAAGGAACACCGTCGTGTTCCAAGTACAGTTGCCATAGAGGAAGTAAAGGTGGGAATCTGATTGTACATTTGAAGTATATTGATGACTACAATGGTTAAGTATTAAGCCTATAGATTTATGCGCACGTCTGTGTGGAAGTAAATCGGGTGTCTGATTGTGTATTTGACATTGTTTTCAACAATGCTTAAGGTTTTAACTGCATAAGTTAGTGTGTGTGTGGCTAAAATCTTCTTAAGGGCTTGTCAGTGCACATACCTAGATACATAAGCTTGATAATGTTTTCCCATGTCTCATGTGCTGTTTTAGTTTTGCTAGATTATATATCTTCTTGCTTGCAGATTCATAGTTCGGTCCTTGACGTATTAGAAGTGAGTAAAATTTTAACGACAGGCTAATTTGTGGCTATGTTTTAGTTTGTTTGACCTCATCCTCAATCACTTATCAATCTGAAGGCCCATGTGATGTTGCATTTTACTTCAACATGGAAGCATGATCATTTCATCAGTGACAAGTTATTTTTCATGGTACACTTGAGAACATCTTTTTCAGAATTAAACTATTTTAGTCCTAGATATTAGCTAAGAGCATCTATGAAGCAAAGAATAGGTGTCAGATATAGATCTATAATAAAGGCACTTTTGTGAAATATATTAGAATGTTTTTGGCATATGCTGGTAGATGGGTAGTGTGTTCATTCCCGTGTGTTGGTTTCAAGTTAAATATTGGGTATATGATTGCTCTATCCTGTAACAATTTAATCAACTAGGGGCATCTCTTCTTATCATGCGTCATGTTAATCGTCTAAGCAGTTGAAAATATCAGTAGATGCATCTTTTCTTTAAGCACATTTTAAGTTATACTGGGAAGTATCAAGTTTAATCGGGGAAGAAATGTTTCTTTATTCAGTCATTTGGCTTCTATACCTTTGAAATGGGTTTACTTTATTTATGTGAATTTCGTTCCATTTTGGATGCTATTATTGAAACATGAAATTGTTGTGCAGGCAGCTGCTGCAAAGGGAGAAGCTCCTCCTGGACTCCCTTTGAAAGGGGCTGGTCAGGATTCATCAGATGCACAACCAAGGGTGAATATTGGTGAAATTGAAAATCATTTTATTTTTCTGTGCGTCTATTTTGTCTGAAACTTTGTAAATTTCCAATAGGCTAATGGGGGTATGCCTAAAGCTGGTGATGCATTATCTGGTGAACTTTGGGAGGTGAAGAAGGAGAGAATACGAAAAGCTTCAGTGTATGGGAAATTACCTGGTTGGGACTTGCGCTCTGTAAGTTCTGCTTGTGAGCAATTGCTCTGTTTGTTTATTTACTTATTTCCAACTTGAGCTGTGTGATTGCATGCACATAATTAGAAATGTGGGCATCATACATTCTCTGCTGCAAAGAGGCTAGTCTTTATTACATTTTGCAATTATGTTGAATACAGCCACATTTTATTTTTTTAATGATCTTCCACTGTTAATGTCAGCTAGTAGCTAACCACTATATGATGGCATTTTCTTTGGAGATCTCTTTGTTAGGGTACCTTTCGTGTGGAATTTTTTATAGTGAGTGTCTTAGACTTCCTCCTCCCCACGCACCCCCCAGCCCCCCCCAACAAGTCTGCATATATATTAGATTGCATCAATGTTGGGTATGTTTACCTTCGGAATATATTGTAATATATCTTGTAAAGCAATGTCAATTTTCCTAGTGACTTGATGAGCTGAGAACTTTGCCAAGGTTAAAGATTGCTTTTGTAGAGCTCACCTTTTTTGCTTTTTGAAGGATTTGTCTAATGTGATACTTGTCGTCTATACTAAATGACCTCTTTCATAAAATAATTTCTCTTTGGAGATGACTAAAATTGTCCACAATGAAGAATAAGACCAGTCATTATCTTCCTACGAAACCCTGTATCGTATGATTTAACTACTGTGACTAAAAAATGAAATAATTTACTCCATTTACAAAAGGATTGAAGTCGAATATCATGTACACAATATTTGGTATATTAAAAGAGGAAAATTATCATATGACGTATGGACTAGAGAGTAGTTACCATGAGATCTTGGAGTTTTTTTTCCAGCAACAGCATTCAGCGAATGATTTATTCCATCAAAATGGCAGATCTAAGTGGTAAACTCTTTTTATTGCTTCCACATGGATTTGATTGACTTAGAGTTGTTGCTAATTACAACCATGAAATTTTGATGGCTTAACATGAGAACTGGTTTCAAACCTGATATGATAAAGGTCTCAAAAATAATGAATTTGAAATTTGGCATTGTTAAAGGTTGTTAATTTCTTTTGGATCAATATAGTTCTTATCTCATAATGTTTCATTTTTTTTAAAAGTTGTATAATTTTGTCTCTTAGGCTCCATTTGTTCCACGGAAATGAACTTTCTGAAAAAAAGAAAATTTTCAAAAAGAATATTTTCCAGAAAAGAAACCAATTTCTGTTGTTTGTTAAACTCATGAACAAATATTTCTGATGTTTGGCTTTCATGGAAAATTTTCAATGCCACCATCTACTTCAACTATCACAAACCAAACCCATTGACAAACAGTGAACCTCTGACCAACAAAATATCCACAACTCTGACAAATCTGAATCAAGTATCTCAATTAATTAAGAAGAATTAAAAAAAATAAGGATGCTGTTGAAATATGAGATGATGTGCTGAGATGGGTTTGGGTTTGTGAAGCTTGAGAAGGACAGAGGGATAGAAATCTGAGATGATATTTGGGTTTGTTAAGTTTGAGAAGGACAAACTACAAAGAGAGAAGAGAAAGAGGGAGAGAAGAACATGGAAAACATCTGGGTTTGGGGTTGTAAGAGAAAGGAGGAAGGGGTTGTTGGGAGCGGCAATCAAAAGGGGAGAGAAAGGGAGAACTAAACTGTTCATGTGTGAAGTGGAGAGGAAGAGGTTATGATCATTGGTGATGAAGGGTAGAGTAAGGGAGAAAGATGCTGACAGTGAAAGGGAGAAAAAGACTGATTACTGATGATGGAAGTGGAAAATATGGAGAGCTGTGGAAGTGAGAAGGGAGATTGAAGGAGGGAAAGGTTCTGATTGCTTCGGCAGTGGTTGATGGTGGTGGGCAATAGGTTGGCTATGAGGGGCTGTGAAGGGTAAAGAGTTAAGTTGGGTGTGTCGTGGGAGAATGGGGAAATTGTCTTCCTTATCTGAAAAAAGGAAGACAATTTCGAGAATAGTGTGTCCTTTTGGCATTGAGAAGGAGCCATTTTCCGGTTGACCATGCCTCTTCAACAACCAAACATCTAGAAAATATGTAAAACAATTTCTCAAAGCCATTCTCCTTGAAACAATGGACCTTTAGTTCCATTTTTTTTTCATTTCATTGTTGCCATGAAACTGTACCATGTCACCAGTAGAGCCTTAGATGTGGACATTTAGTGTTAGGAAATTGGTAATATGTCAATCATTAGTGTCTTTAGTGTTGTTGGTGCTATTATAAAATGGATCTGGTAAAGATGCTTGTTCAATTGCATGACATAATATTTTGATCCTATATAAGATTCTAGTCCCGCAGCATTGAATCTGGTATATTATTATTCAATGAAATATGCATGTGAGAAAATTCAACTAATTGGTGTTGAATCAGTGGTTAATGTTTACAACTAGTTCTTGTATTATGACATTGGATGCAAACCTTTTGCTGTTAGTTGGCTACATATAATTGACATTAATTTGATGGCTTAAGGTATTTGATGTTACTATTTTGGTGTAATGCTGACTTTTTTGGTTAATTTACTTAATACCTAACTAGACTTTTTATTCTTCATATTATTGGCTATATTAAATAGTTAGTTTGGTGTAAGTGAAATTGCCTTTTTTTTTTTGTTTTTTGAAGGTTATTGTAAAGAGTGGTGATGATTGTAGGCAAGAGCATCTTGCTGTGCAGCTTATCTCTCACTTTTATGGTATGTTTCTTTATTACAATTTCATATGCTTCTTTTCTTCAGATCATCTAGCTCATTTGCTTCCCGTCCCTTATTTCTCTCCAAGCCAGTTGGTAAAAAAAAAAGCAATATTTGCAGTCTCATTTTCTGTCTACATCATTTTGATATGTCATAATGCTAAAGCAGTATATTGCTTTTTTCTCTTTCCTTTTTTTTTTCCCAATGCAAAGGGAAATATATAATTTTGCATGCAAGAAGATGATTAGAATGCATGATGTTAAGTAGACTGAAAAAATTATATAAATAGGTGTGTGGATCTATATTCCATTGTTGAATCCTATATTATCAAGTTGGCCCAAAAAAAGAAAAAGATTTCTTATTATTACACATCAGTGCTGGAGTTCTCAGAAATTGTTATTGTTTAATTATTGTAGTCAGTTGAAGTGTGTGTATAATGGTTTTCAATGCCAGATATATTCCAAGAAGCCGGTCTTCCGCTTTGGTTGTGCCCTTATGAAGTTTTAGTTACATCTTCTTACACAGCTCTTATTGAAACAATTCCAGATACGGTAATGTAAACTTTTGCTCTTCAACTGACTGGATTGCAGCGATGATAGGAAACTTTTGCTGTCTTAATGGTAATAGTTTTACTGTTTTTGCAGGCTTCTCTTCATTCTATCAAAAGTAGATATCCCAATATATCAAGCTTACGTGAATTCTTTGCAGCTAAGTATCAGGAAAATTCTCCAAGTTTTAAGCTGGCCCAGGTAATCTAGTTTTAAAGAGCAGGTGTTTCCAGTTATTGTTTTTTGTTTGGCAAATGTTTTCATTATCATGTTTCAAATAATTGTCCCTTTTAAAGGACTTATTATTAAATTTTGTGGCATTGTAATTGAGCTGCTTAGTAGTGTGGTTGGACCATTAGGAGTCAGAATTTGCCCCTCTCTTTTTCCCCTGGGAAAGAGTAGCTATTTTTCTATAAAGCTGCAGATGCTGTGATTGTCATGCTCTAGTAATTTAAAGAAATCTTGTTAAATAAGAGGAGACAGGCTAGTTCCTTTCCGCTTCTCTACAATTCTAGACTATAGCAATTTTGGGTTGTTATCAGGGGAAAATTTCCCAGTATATCTAAGCTGCACTTATTTTAGGTGACATACAATTTTATATTAGTTTAAAGTCATTTTACTGAGTGAGCTTAAGCTTACTTCCATCATGAGCCAATCATCCTATACTAACCTCTTCCCTGTGATTACTGAAAAATGTGGCCAGCAGTTACCGTGTAGTGTATGTTGACTGCCTGAGGTGTTGTGTTGGGTTGATTTGTGAGATTTATTTGGATATTTGCAAGAAGTAGGTGGATGCACTCTTGGTTCATCTTTCTTTAGTCAAAATTTGTGATTTTGTGA